TTATTTACTTATCTGTTTGCGGTTATTATCAATATTATTGATTAATTAATTAATCATTAACAATTAGATTACTTATTTATCTGTTTATAGTTATATGGATTAGTCGTTGTTAATTGGAACCTATTTATTTATCTGTTTGCGGCTATTATTAGTATTATTAATTAATTAATTAATTACGCTGGCAATTAGATTACTCACTTATCTGTTTATAATTGTTGTTATCGTCGTTAATAATCGCTATTAATTGAATTACTTACCTCTCGATTTATTTTTATTGTTATTATTATTATTAATTATTCGTTCCAATCATACTTTGAAGTATTGCTTTTCATCGCTGCTAATTTTAATGATTATCACCAACAATTTTAATTGGTCTGCTTAATTTTTTGTTTTTTAAAATTTCAATAAATTTTTATCTTTATTTCTTAGAGTTCGTTTTTTTTTTTTGGCCTTATCAGATATTGGTTTAGATATTATCAGTCATTGTTGTTTTTGTTTTAATTATCAGTTATGCAATTTTATTGTTCTTATTATTTATATCAAAATTACAGACATGGTTATGTTATAAATTCATTAATGTTCTAATTGTTATCAGCACTTATCAGGTATTTTCTTCATTGTAATTAATTAACAATGTCCTAATTAGTTTGTATATTTATAATCTAACATATTGGAGGTTTTTTGCTAATTTAACCCATTCCACACTTTTTCTCTTAATTGCGTTTTTGCATGCTTTTTTTTGCACATCTCTTTTGCATGCCTTTTTTTTCATATCCCTTTTGCATGCTTTTTTTTCGCAGGTCTTTTTTGTATGCTTTTTTTTTGCAGGTCTTTTTTGCATGCTTCGCCACTATTCTTTTTTTTTTTTAAGTTTTCTACTACTTTATAGCACTTTTCACTTAACTTATACCTAACTTTCATATACAAGACTTTCACTTCAGACCAAAACACCTTCAAACTTTCACCTTTCACAATTCACAAATTCATAGTCAAATTTAAATTTAATTTGTCATCTCACATATGAATATAACTTCACGACTTTAAGTCCATATGTCAACAGAAAATTTATGCGAAAAATTTGGTGACAACAATTTTTTGTTGGATGCAATCATTAAAATATTGACTACTTTCAAAATTGAACAATCATTTTAATTTATTTAGCGCATTTGCAAAATGTTTTCATTTCTGGCGCTATTGACGCTATTTATTTTGCGCTATTTGAAGCGATTTATTGTGACAAAAAAAAATTATTCATAATAATTGCCCAATTAAGCAATGCTAACTGACATGACAATATAAGGAATGGTAATAAATTAGTAGCCTACTCTAAATTAAAGTTGTTAAAATCTTATCATTAATTTCGAAACATTTATTGGTCATAAAATTTAGACAATATTTTATCCAAATGATTTTCTACAAGTGCAAATACTTCTTCCACTGTTCCTTCTGATGCTATCTGTAATAATTAATTTACAATTAATTATATTAAATTTTAGTCTGAATAATCTTTTAAGTTTTATTGCATAATTACATAATTACTTTATAATTATTGTGATGAATATAACAAATATGCGAGCATAAATCATTTTAAAAAAATAAAATTGAAATGAATAAAAAGCTTTTCATGATGATTAATGATATGTAAAGATTATTTTATTCATTTTTCTTCTTTTCTCTTTTTGTACTTTTTAATTAATAATTATGAAATTAATTATTCACACCTGAAGAAGTTTTCCTTTTGATCATAGTAATCGATTACTGGTGTACTAGCAGTTTCATATGTTTCAATCGTTTTGGATTGTCTCAGAGCTATCATCAAATCGACCACTGTAAAATTTC